GCGAATGCAACATTTAACCTTTGTTTTCGCTAGTTATATTCGAATTATATATGGCAGAGTGCGTGTGTACTGCCGTTTAATTATAAGTTTTAATTTGAGTTTTACAGTAGATGCAGTTAGAAATATGATTTGATACACAGTGTCAAATTTATTATTTAAATCTTTATAAACTTAACTGGTAGTGTCACGGAGTGCCACTAGCTAGGTTGTACCGTATGGAGAATTTAAAAATTGTATTCAAGAAAACATTCGGCAATATTAATCATATTTAGTATAAAGTGTCGTAGTAGCACAATAGATTTCTTTGACATACAGATTCATACATATCTACAGCAAGATATAAGTAAAAATCTTCTTATTTATTAATCTGATTTAACCTTCACCATTTTGATGAACAATCAGTATAAACATTAAAAATAACACTTTCAAACCGTCATTTTCAATTGTATTAAAAAAGCTACCACCTGGCAGTACACACATTTTCAGAGCATAAAATATTCAATCGGACATTTAATTATTTAACGTTTATTCAACGGAATTTAATTCTGACACAAATAAATACGACACTTCATTCGGGCACAAAACCGAAACATACGTAAATCGTGGAGGGACACAAACTCACAATTAAAATTCGAGCTCAAATACTTGTTGTTTATACAAACTTTTCAATAGAGTCCTGTGGTCCTTAATTGTTGATGTGTTCATATTCATCTCTTGTTTTATTTGTATACGTGTTTAGATTTACAAGTGTGAATAAGATGTCATTGAAAATTTACGAACTACTATATATAAATTGTTGTTAGTTATTGGGTAATTTTTGTGTCTTAACCATAGGATAGAGAGGTAAGCTATTCTTTGTATTGAAGTTAAATAATATTACTTAGTACCTATAAATAATAAATTAAATTATGGAAAACATATATTACATACCTACATATTTTTACAATTCTTGTATTACATCGTAGGATAAATATTACAAAAGAAAAAAAAGTATGTATACCAACTATCTACTACTCATGGTAGAAATTTTCGTTACTTCAATATGACGTAATATTAATTATTCAGTCTTTTATAATCACTCTGTCTACCCCTTGAGGATGCTGATAAATTTAGACATTATCGTTACCAACAAGACAAATATGTATTTACGTGGCACACAAACACATAGTCTAGATGTTTTTCCTCTTAGTTCTATCGTAAAATCTTGTATTACGAGTCCATCTAGAACATAAAGTAGTAGGTTACGATTTCGATTTGCCGCCATCCGATGTTGTTTGGAAACTTTACTGATATTGCCACCAAATAGGTTAAGCGCGATGTACACGATGCGGTTCGTCACCGCACCGCTGATAACGTTTGAAATTAATAAAGGCAATTTCTACAGAAATTAGAATAGTTTTATATACTAATGAAATTAGAGGCACGACATCTTATGCCTATGGAATGGCAATGTATAACACTCATGCACATGATGAAATACTGTTCGTAGTGCTGTTTATGTATATCGCGACGTTTACTGCCCACCATCAGGAGAGCCGGCGCCTTGTTTAAGATTCCAATTATATAAATAAAAATTCAAGACATCCAGGCTGGCAGTTTAATAAATTTCCACTGCCCGCCGTTGAGCCTTATGCGAAGAAGAACGATAGCAATCACGACGTGTGCTGAGCGCCTTACTAACAGAATTCTATTCCGTATACTAAACTTAATCCCTTATAATAATAGTCTTACTTTTATATGTATGGAGTGCTTACAAAACTTATTAAGTATTTTGTTTAATAATATTATATTTGTCCTTTGAACGGTGTTAATATATTAATATTATTAGAGGTTCTACATTCTACCTCTATATGAAGGAATTTAGTGACGTGGTTTACCCATTTGCCTTCCATACCATGGTACACCGTGAGCCAACTAGTACATGTGCCTACATAAGCCCTGAAACTATATCTTCGACCCTCGGGTAATACCTATAACACCCGGGATATATCTAAGTACCTATTTATAATCTCGTAATGACACTGTATCTATGTATGAAGTTCAAATCTTCATAATCTCGTACATGTGCTTAAGAAGCCAAAAATGCAAGGATTTTTCGACTAATTAAAATGCGGATGTTTAATTCATTGATACAAAAGTAAAAGTAAAATATGCATAATTTTTTGTGTATGTTACACTATATAGTCAATTATTAATCTTAATATTTTTTTATTGAAATGTAATACTACCTATATTGTCTTACCTGTCTGTTTGTAGGGTGTATTTAAAAGATTTATGTACTTGCTTATGTACCTACTTATTTATATAAAATTGATCACACCGCTTGTGAGTTGATAGGGAAACCTACCTGCTAGTTATCACTTCTCTCACTCCGCAGGCGAACGCGTCCACTATCCACACGCTATATACACGCAGACGATATGGAGAGCTTTAAATTCAACCATATTTTCATTCCAGAATATTTGACCACTCCTTACCTGTATAGGCTTTAATAACAAATAACTTATTATCCAACATGTTTTATACGACGTAAATGGAGTAAAAAGAAAAATAAACATTTCCGTAGATATTTCCTTTCATATTTCGTTGAGTATGCATTCATATGAGTAATAACATGATGGTATAAAAGATACTTCAGCAGCTTTGCACAGATCAGACAGAGTTCTGCTTTGCTTGTTTTATGTCAAATGGAAACAACAAAACTGTAACAAGATATATATTTTTTAATTTTTTATTATCCCCACGCAAGAAGCAAAGGTAAAGCAGATTATTCAGTCGAATCTCTCTAGTTTTCTTTACATATAATTGCGCGCCAAAAGTTTAAATTAGGAATTCCAATTTCTAAAAATGTTGTAGCATCTATATTTTGTGCATAAATAAAAAAGAACTATTATATTTTATTTTACTAATGATGCATTATGAGCAACTCGGTTCATAAAATGTTTGCAATATAAATATTTAGATGTTATTATTGTTTTACAGCATCAGGAAGATATTGTACTTGCAAATTATTATATTAATAATTAATATAAAACGTTCTTACCACTATACATTCAAACAAAGTTATTACCTTATTTTGAATTACAGTCATGAAGATATATTAATTTATATGTACTATCTTAGTACTTATCTTAGTCGAGATGAGATGATACTCTTTATAGTTTCCTTTAGACTAAATATACACAAAAACAATACCAGTAAATTATTTCACTGAGAAAACAACGGTCGATCTTATCGTTAAAAGCGATCTCTTAAAGGTAACCTTTGGACGTAAAGGAATAATCTTAAACAATCTATCCGGAAGAGAATCAATTGAATAGAAAAACCAATAAAATAACATAAATATAAATACACAGGATATTTTCAATAAATACAAAATTAGCATCTGTTAAGAGATCACATTACCACGAGGAGGATATTTTACGAAGATTTTATGGCTGGTATGGTTACAATTTAGGAATAGAGAATTAACTTTGCGTAGGCAATCGTAACCAATGAGGTTAATCCGAGGTGCGGTTATTGCTAGTCGATAAAAGAAATAGAAAACTAAATGTTACCCGCGATTATCTCTGAACAAAAAAAAACTACATGCTGTCCCTATATAGTTCCCATATAGTAGATAGACAGACATACAGGTATACTTTCGCTATTATAATATTAGTATACATGTGTTCGTCTTTCAAATACTAAATATTATTGAAACAGTTAATTAATAGGTACATGTAATACATTTGTAATGGAATTATTCTTGAGGGATTAACTAAGTTACCGCGATACCGCAATATCGCGGCAAATAGATATTTGTACCAATATACAATAACATAAGACAGTAGAAAGTATATAATGCATAGCGCCATCTAGAAATAAGCAGAAGTGGAGTCAGAAGAAGTATTAGTTAAACTATGTATTCCAAACAGGAGATAAAAATACATAAATACATTTTTATAAGTATACATAAAATACCAGACCAATAGTAATCACACTCACAAATGTAAATTAATGTATCGTGTATGAAGGAATCAGGAAATACAGAAATGTCTATGTTATATTTAGCTAAAACTGAGTTTACAAGATACTATTCCGCTGATACTAAACTTTTAAAACGATTTCAAAAGGCATAAGAACAATAAATATCTGAACAGCAAGAATGAGCAAGGGTACAACATAACGTCCGAAAAGTTACACTCGAAGATATATCGGAGGTACATTGAATGAAATGTACGATCGTTGGAAAGGGTTCCAGCAAACCCTTTATTATCATGTTGGGACTGATGTCGCCCGATACGAGGACGGACCGCTCACATTAGGTGGAACCTAGAGCACTTTGCTTGCTACTTTTTGTACAGTTTGTCCTAGTATAATAATGTAGATGATAATCTATTACGATGTACAAAGATTGGGTCCTTCTAAATGACTATTTGTTTAAGCGTGTGTATTTTATGGCTTTACTGTATGTATTTAAAGCCTTTATCTTTCTGAGCCTAACGAATGAATACATTTAAATTAAAGAAAAAATCACTGTTCAATCGAATCTATAAAATTACGCGTCAAATGTCCGAATTTCAAATTCTAATTTTAAAACTGGTTCTCGCAATCACTAACTTACTAACAACAACCTAGTTATTGTGTTAATCTGTGTAGCCAAGTTTTCAGCCCAACATATTTACAAGCAGAATTCTATTAAAGGTTTTGTTATAGTGTGTCAGATCTTGTCTTGTCAGCCTTTGAATTCCTAGTTTTGTTTTTTGCTTAATAATCATTTTTATTCATTTTAAAGATGAGGGTAAAATTGCTTTATAATAAAATATAATATTGTCGACTATAGTACTGTTCATATCTAAAGATAACCGCTACCACAGAACTCCGAAAAAAATATGTTCTGTGCTATTTATTATCAATAATACCAACAGCTTACTACGTTTATGAGTTGCATTTTTTTTTGTTGTTACACTATTTATATATTCGGAACTTGTGTCTATAGTAATAAGTATTTATTCCAGATTGTTCTGTGGCGATGTGATAATAAAATAGATCGTGAATATTAAATTGAATATAAATAAAATGTCTAAATATAATATATTGTGATAACAAGTGCTAATAACTAAGCGAAAGTGAGTGTAAAGAAGTAATGGTGCAATAAAACGCGTCTGTGGGCGATGCCGAAGTACCGGATATTGTCATGGCGTTATTGGATTCTATTCCTTTTCACTGCTATAAAACAAGGTGAGTGATATTATATTTCTTAACGTAGATTAATAATAATAATAATATTCTTGGACAATTCACACAGTGTCATTTTGTCCAAATTAAGCCGAGCTTACGTTATGGACTACTAGACTACTGATATACTGTCTTTACATAGATACTCTCTATTTTTCTTAACACATACACAATTTACATAGAAAGCTATGTTCTGTAGTAGGACATATAATATGTTTAATTTAATTGAACAATAAACATCTAATCAGAGCCTTTACGAAAAAAATGTTAAAATAAAATTCACCAATAGCTAAAAAATCTAGTATAAGCCGTCAGTAATCCGAAAGACTGACTTGCTATACGATAGGTTTTCGTTATATGGGCTAAAAGCTGCGTAGAGTGAAAACAGTGAGGGCTCCAATTGAAGCTTCATCTGATAAATTATTTCCAGCCAGTTACACATGTGCACTGAGCAAATAAACACTACGTTTTAAGAGTAAGCCCTTTTAAAAACGAATCCTAAAATGAATATATTTCTACCCAATGTAGTGTTAAAATATTTTCTAAAAATAAAGTAATTGCACATAGTCATAAAAAAATTGTTTAGTTCCAATTCATGTAAATCTACATACGGTAACTAGGTATTTATATTTTGTCGATAAATGTTCTTTAATTTATTTTTCATTAAAATTAACTCGTATAATATTATATTTTCTATTATACGAGTATTTTTAATAAAAAATATACCAGAAATACTTAACAGATTAATGCAAAATAGTTTAAAATTCTCCCCAGAGATAACAATGTTCAGCAGATTCACGGAATTTCAAATTAGCGAATAAACATGCAATAATACGGGAAATCTAGCGATGTAACTAGTGGTTTATGTAAACAATGAAACTCTGAGCGAATTCTCATTGTTTCATTGTGAAGTCATAAATATGATAATTTTATTATATAGGTGTTCAAAGAGCCTCTAAGTACCAGCTACTATCGCTTTATGAGGGATAACTCTAAAAAATGGTGATCAGATCTGGATAATAATATATGGGATGACATGATAAGCACCCAGCTTTCAAATAATAAAAATAATCATCAAAATCGGTCGTCTAGAAAAAGTTCTTGGTTAACGCAAGAAAACAATACAGTCGATTTAAAAAGCACGTTCTGTCAGTAGTGAAATTATTGACGAAACCACTTCCTTCCAGTTAGCTTAGACATAGCCTACAATATAAAAATAATTAATTATTCATTTCAGGATTGTATGCATTTATTTTAAATGAAAATATATGTTATTGAATATTATAATAATAATAATAATCACAGGACAATTTACACAGCGCCATTATTATTATATTATATAAATAATCTCCCTCGACAAGTTGATTCCCTCTATCAGAAAATGTAGGTATATATAACTTCTAAAATTAACATCAAAACACGCCTATCTATAGATTTAGCCTTTACACTGTAGAAAAAATAAAGCGTTCCAGTGTAATAAACGCGAACCTCTGACCTTCTGGTACGACATATCGTATAGTACTAAAATAGGGTCTACGCGGACAAAATGTCGGCAATTTATAGTAACGTGTCAGATGCACCGTCACCATAGACGTAGTTCGAAATAGATGTCGCAACTGTGTTCCAATTTTGAAATAACTTAAGAAAAAATAGGTACTAAAATTTTGAGTAAGCTGAAGTGAACACATACCTTTATACTAGTATTTACATGACCTAAAGCTTAAAAAAATATAATATACATACATACACATACCTACTTGAATTCTGGTTACATTTTGTTTTACACAGCTTACTTATATCTTTAAAAAAACATAGCTAATTTATGGAAAAGTATCAGATGCACCGTCACTACAGATGTATTTAGAAATAGATGTCGCAACAATTTATGTTAAATTTTGAATGGGTTTATGAGGATATACTTGAGGTGTGGCTACATTTTGATTCAGACATCTTACAGGAAATCATCATTGATATAGTACCTATATATTTAAGTTTTGGAGTCAGCTTAAGAGAATATATTTACTTCAATTCTGCCTATAATTTAGAATTTTTACTTGAAATGAATGTACATATCAAAAAAAAATATCAAATAGATTGAACATAATAGTACTATTATCTGTCCACTACTAATGGTTGAACAGATCCTAATTGCATTTGATACGATCTATCTTAGATTGCATAAAGGAGATGGACATACGCTAACTTTTATCTTAAAAAAGGAAACAAAGACGCAATGTTATTTTTTCATCTGAATCTCGATTGCGTTGTGTATCTATATGTCTGCGGCCGTAACCATTGGACCGGGCGCAATATCGCATTGGTCCAATCTTATGCTTGTGACATACAGATATAGATCGTTACGTTTCATTTGGTACAATATTAGATTACAATTGAAAATCTATGTAATATAGTACATTAATGTTGTAATTTTACGTTAAAATGCACCATTTAAAAAAGAAAAACTATAATCGTTTTATTGGTCTTGAATAAATACTTATTTGAAAATTGATAACTGTTATTAATTGTAGGAAATTGTAAATTACTTATTCTTTCATTATTAGACCATCAAGGTCGATTGATAAAAATTAAATAGTATTTATTTATTTACATATACTGCAAACAAAAGTATAAAATACCATTTTTAAATTCAACCAAATCGTATTCGAAATTTGAATCTCATGTATAATGAGACTTGGATCACTTATAACAAAATAATGTTTCTATTAAAACGTGCACTTAATTTTTCCGCAGTTACAAATATTTAGATATACAGATGCAATTTGGGTTTAGTTCTCATTACGGTCCTATGGTCTCATAACAGGCGATCCAATTACTTAAACTGTTGAGCGATGTAATAAAAATATTAACACATATATTTTACAAATGGGCCACTCAAATATTAATCGGGTCAATGTAACCCAGAACATACGCGTACACCCAGCTGCAGACACAATTAGACCTGAAGCGTGGCGTTAAATTATTGTAAGGTTACAATGAATTGGCGACACGGATTTGCTTTTATACAGATTGAACAAAATATTCGGGTCAAATGGCACACGCTCTATAGAATTGTTATTTATAGACACAAATCTCACTGCATTTGGAAAGATGCGTATATCCGAACGTAACGTTGCTATACATTAGAAATTTGAATACTATTATCTTACATATAAAATTCTCGTGTCACAATGTTAGTTACTATAATACTTACTTCTCCGAAACTTCACCGATTTTTATGAAATTTTAAATACATATTCATTAGGTCTGAATCGGCTACTATCTATTTTTCATGTCCCTAAGTGATAAGGATTGGCCATCCCTAACATTTTATTTTTATTTTGTGGTAAATTTTATTATATTTTTTATAATTTGGCATAATAACATAGCTAGTTATTTTTATAATTTATTTTTATTATATATTGTTGTTAAATAAATATAATTATGAATAATTTGTTTTATTCATTAACAGAATAGTGGTTCGATCTGTTTACAAACAGCACAGGTTATGGTTTTAGTGTTATGATAGGTACCACATATGTCATTGTAAATTAACAAATTATTATTTTTATTTTTATTAAATAATAATGTTTTTTGTTTTATTGTAATAATATTTGATGACTTGAATAACACAAAATGATAAACGAGATACAGTATATTGTATTACACATTATATTGTATAATGTAACAGTCGATCAAGAAATTTTCTTTAAACCAATTTTGTTTGCTTTAGTAGGATTTTTTTGCGTTTTCGTGTGATAATTAAGCACCTAAATTGATTCAAGCGATGGAGCGACCACCTGCACCTTTTATATTTTTCGTTTTTAGGATAATTTTATTAGGCCGTGTTATATTAATTATTTTAAAAAGAATTTTTAATATTAAAGGCTATTTAAGTTTTTTGGTTCTTTGATTTTCACACACGTTAAACGTCTTAGGACAACCATATTCTTAATCTTAATATAACTAGGGTTATAATTAGACTGAATATCGACATCTCAATCCCAAAAGTTACGCATATATAAAATTTTGTTAATTATTTGTAAACCTATAAAATCGTAGTACACAAGATTATTTTTTTATTACGATTAACATTTCATTAACGCTAGAATTTAAAACCAAATTGTTCCTGCTTTCTCTTTAAATATTGAAAGCAAAAGCGTTCCAGAAATAGTGACTTAGCGTGGATTTATATTCTCAGTAACTTATGGGAAACCGGGGAAAAGAGCCCCATAATCTTCAAAGGGTATAAGAGGTCGTATATTGTGAGAGTGTCAACCGTTTCTTAGGTTATTGCTATATTTACGTGGAGGGTAGAATTTAAATAGCCAGAGTGGGGCGCTTTAGTCCGTTGGTTATTTTATTAACATATTTCAAAGGGGCTAGTGTACTTAATTTTGTCGTAAATATGAAGAACAGTACTATTATTAAATTTTCACCACAAATATATATTATTTACGCAGACTTTGTATTGTATAAAGTCGTTTGTGGGTGGTACCTCAGTCTTAACTATTTCAGCTTCATACCTTGAATAGTAAGACGTGTTTCGATTGAAGGACCTCACCTTTCAATTGAAACACACATAAGGTTGTAAAATTGTAGGATAATGACATACCACACGTGATGTCCCTGGTGCTAGGTAACTGGTGGTAGGTAACGGTTACAACGTGCCATTAGGTGGGCTGTCAGATTGTTCGCTATTCCGAATGTATAATAGTGAGTAAAAAAACAATTTTTGTAGGCCAACATCGAGATTTAAAAAATACATATAAATATGTTAAATGCCTGTAGTGCTGTTCATGATACAAGTAACGGTTACAACGTACTACTAGATGGACCACCAGATTGATAACCATTCCAATTTTATAACGAAATCCCAAATTTACATATAAAATATGTTAAAATGTTACAACAATAATTGAGATTAAAGAAATAAAATATAAACACATATAAAGATAATTAATGCCTGAGATTCTGTAGTACCTTATTAGGAAAATAAAATATCTCCCAACTGTCACATTTTAACAACAACAAAAAACAACACCATTTAAACCCAAGTTATAATTTTATACTACTTGGTTATATTTCCATCACCTATAGATACTATAAATAATAATAAATAAATAAACATATTTGGATTTAATTAGTACTAATATCTAGTTTACAAGGAAAATAGCAATTTCAAAAGCGAGTTATCCTATTAAAATTAATAATTATAATAATAACAATATTAATAGTGAAATTAAGAAAAATGTAATATCACACTATTTTTACATAAATTGATTTGTAAAACAAAAAAGTTGATTAGCCCAAACATTATTCTAATATCCATAGAAATGTAAATTAAATGAAATTTCAAGCTGATAATAAAAGTAGTATAAATTGAAATTCAAGATAGCGTGGAATAAATTGCCATTTTTGAAAAGCAATAAATTTCGTCCCCTTCAGAACAGCACAATTCAGCACGTTTGACGTAGCTCTTGGTGATATTTGATTTAAATATTTTCCTATTGTTCGCCATCATTACAATGAATTCATGTTCAGAATTATATTTGCATATTATTATAGATAACTATAATATTAAATCATTGTATTTATATATACTATATCGATAAATACTATGTTAATCGTATTTACTAATAATACTATAATTTATTGGTAATGCCAGACAAAACATAAGATAACATATGTTTGGTCATATCACTTCATAGAAACTTTACTTTCATACTAGGTACAGAGTACTAGAGAGAAAATTAAGCATGAAGAGAAAGTGACATGCCAAATGCATGGGAAATGCCAATAGCGTACTAATATTGAGCTGATGATGAGAATTAATTGTAACTGTACTTATATATACTGAAAAAGTTTATAAAAAATATCTTTAACGTATAGTAAATAGAAAAAAAAAGTAAATCTGCTGATAATAAAATCCTCTTAGGCTACATATATCAGCTGAACTGTCTCTGCTTTACTCAAATTAAAGTTGGCAAACAACTTCAGACACGTTTCAGTCGTACGTTAGAGAGGGTTTCGTTATATATACACACTGCATTTTGAGGGAGAATTGAATTCGTACCTAAATCTACATGGAGCAAGGAAACCGCGGTAGACTTGTAATAAATGGGTAAACAAGGTCCCAACCTCTCCCATAGTAAACACTACACTTTTTACTTTTTTAGGGTTTCGTAGTCAAATACTAACTTTTATTGTGTACGTTGTAAAAATATGTCATTATTAGTAGGTATACTACTGCTTCAGTAGAAAGATATTAGAAACGCTCTATAGAACGATTTAATGGAATTAATATTATATCCAAAATTTAGCGCCTCTCCTTTTAAAACCAATATCTAGTATTAACGGTTTTTTAATTGAATGGGTGGAGTCCAACCATTACTCTATTCTTATTTTTTTTAATATTTTAACAACACGTCTTCAAGCCACTTAAAAAAAAAATTGTATTACCTTTTTCTTAAAAGATTTAACAAAATATTCTTCGGAAATATCATCATATTATCTCCTGTCGTTTTTACGTCAAGTCACATTTTATAATTAAAATTAAACAATATTATTATCACATCATTATTTCGTTTTGATAATTTTACTCTTTTTATCTTCAACATAATGATAATAAAATTATACTTGATGATAAAAAGGTACTTGTTCACTATCTATACATTCAAGTTTGTTTAATATGATATTCAGATCATTACAAATTCCAGTCTAGAATAGAAAATGTAAGTGCTCATAAAAGCAAAATTCATTCGAAAATTATAGCGGGTCTGTCTATTGTTTGAGTACAAGTAGGGGAGAGCCAGTGGTCTGAATATAACTACGTATTTCGTGAACTTTCTTTGTAGGTAGACGGTCACGATCAATGGTATGTAAACACTTTAGTGCGTTGTAATAGTGACATTATTGACATTTCGCGACATTCTTATACCTATCGTGTTATGTTATATATATGTCTTATATCTTATCATTATCACATGGCTTAAATACCCACAATTAAGTAACGTAAAAAAGGTTTATTCAATATATGACAATATCATCGTAATTTATATTCTTCCAAAATATAATTTTCACTGAAGTACTTCACGAAAGAATTAAGTTAAACAATTTTATTATTATGTATTGTTATATTTATATTACATTAGAATTATCTCACATACAAACACAATATTAGTATCAAATTTATTCATAATCCACATTACAGGTACAGCTATTAGAACACATATCTATTGGTATGGAATAATAAGAATTTAATTACGCAAACATCTGCATATCTACGGGAGATGCCTGAAATTGTGTGTAATCTGTTTATTTCGAAAATGTAATAATTTACTCAAATATTTGTGGGTGCAATTTGAGTCACGTACTAAATAATGTCCACCATGAAACTTAAATTGGAATGTGACCCCATTAACTCTAGAATGACATACGCGCAAGATAAAATGTTACCGTTACTGGAATTTTGCAATTTGCCTATTGCTTTTTCAATTGCGAGACGATGTTGAATGTTGATATTATACTGTATGATTAAAAAAACATATATGTATAAGTCGGTAATAATGCTGTAAGAATGAAGAACCTTTTAATCCATAGTAATATTATTAATACCAAAGTATTTATTATCTTTTGGCGATTATACAGCTGCACGGGTATTAAAATTCTTAATGAAATTTACCTGAAGATAGATCGTATCATAAAGGCATGAACTGTTTTGTATCTTAAAAATTTTACATTATGTTCTAATATAATCTATTTTAAAAAGACTAAAGCTAGCAATCATATCCTGACCACTATCATTGTAACAGCATAGAAATATCCGGTTTCTTGATTTTGAAATAGCTCCCAAATAGATGAAGTATCATTAGGTTTCTAAATGTGATGGGAACAAAAAAACAAAGGGTACTCAAAAAATACCTCCTTTATTGAATAATTTATGGAGATGTGTTTATGTGTTGTAAACAAACCCCTTCGTTATCTATTCAGTGATACGAAATCATTTTATAATGACGAAGAAAATTGCCAAATTTTTATGTCTAGTTATTTTTTGTATACCTATTTTAATTATATATATTTGTTTATATTTATAGGAAACGGCCAGGCCACCGACGTGGATGTACGACTGACGGCGCCTAGTTGGGTAGCACGTGGGGGCTCGGCGACCCTACGATGTCTACACCAAGTTCCACCGCAGCTGCTGTACAAGGTCGAGTTCCTGCGATCTGGGGCCAAACTGCTACAGTATGTGCGTGAGAGGGTGCCACCATTCACCAATTATACATTCACTGGGGGAAAACTTAATGTAAGTACTGAATATGGTTTTTGATCCCCTTCCATATATTTTTTATTTTTTTTCCGGTTATTATTATTGTACACGCATAATAATGTGCTAAAGTTAATTTAACATTCATAATTAGTTCAGTCATGACTAGACATTTATAACAGTGACGAAATATCGTAATCTCTTATATACCAGCAATGCAGTATCCCGTCTACATACATATGTTTATTTTTTTGCCATTTCATTCAATAACCCAATACCAGTAATAACCTGACGGAAGATAATATCTTTCGTCAGGTTTTTCCTGATTTTATTTTATTTTTTTAACACAACTTCATACTTAGGCCGCATAATCAATATGTTTTCAGAGCTGATATAGCAATGTTTACGTGTGAAAATTCTACTCAATAGTTTTTGGGTGCTAATTTAAATGTGGAGAGCCATAAGCAGCATTTACGTCATATTTTATTTTTTTACTACAGTAAACATAAAAATGCTATGCTATGACAGTACGCCAGTGCCTGTTCAAGCTGATGCAAATCGTCGAATAACATTAGATATCGGTGACCGGTTATAAAACATAAAAGAAATATCCTATTGTCACTGATGTCGTTAATAAAAATCAACATAAATTACTATTAAAATATTAAATAAGAAGATACAGCTGATTGTACTAAAACTCAACAAAAATAATGCAGAAATAGCAGGGATATCATAATATAAACAGAAAAAACTGGAATTGTAAACATGATGAAACCGTGGAAAATTTAAAAATATGTAGACTCATAAGAAAAATGATACTAATGCAGAAAACCGCCAACTCGACGAGAGATTGCGGAGTTTGCTACTTAATATTTAAAAATGCGAGACTACTCGCATATTTAAATAAAAAAGTTAATAAAGTCCAAACTGTTACATTGTTTGTAGGTTTTAAAAAGATGGTAAAGGTATAAAATGTAGATATTGTTTATTTAACTCTTACATTATATACGATTCGTAGTAGATGTCTCGGTCTAGTTCTATACAAAATGTCGACCTTATTTTAGCATATATGGGAAGCATATTTAAAAAAAATATCTTTCATGTTAAGAAATAAATATCTACACACGCTTCAAACAACAGAACATACTTAATAGTTGTTAATATTATTTATGCTGTTTATGTTTATACGTTTTTTATGTAATTGATATGGTACAAAAGCTGCTGGCGCACCTGAGATTAAGCGGTAATCGTTACAGGAACAGCACTACGATATCATACGTAATGCCTGTTATATTCATACCTTAGCATTCCAGAGGACTAAAATGTTATGCCTTTTAATCTGTAATTTCATTGCCTTATCTCCTATTAACTAAAACATAGCTTAAAATACAAGCTGTCAAAAATAGATAGACAGAGGTACCCACGCAGCCATATTATTAGAAGACTAAAAACTCTGTTACCATAATAGTTTTATTTATATATTCATTCATTGTTACAGATGTCTTTGGTAACCGAGAACTCGATAACTATAGATAACTTGGACCCTTCTGCTTCTGGGCTGTACTGGTGCGAGGTGTCCTTGGAGACACCCATCTTCACAGCCGCCTCTCCCCCTCACCAGCTGACTGTCGTTTGTAAGTAGTGTCCTCACATATTACACATAAAATTTCGGGACAATACTCACTGCTACCAGCTACACTATTACAATAAATAATATAGTTTCAAGCATATGGTAATTTGATACTTTGCTTATTGTTATTAAAAGGAAAACATAGATTAAATAACTCTAATATTTCGAAATAATACAGTTTATTAAAAATAATATAAATTTTTAAGGAAGTCTAATATTTGACTTTTATATTACAAACATAGATTAAAGAAACAAAGGAAAGCTTTTATATGGAATATGGTTAAATCTAATTCAAGATTGGTTAGAAAGTATTTTTTACCTATCACTGTTACAAATTGATATGATCTGAATGGGTATCCGTTAGAAAATAATATAACTGGTAACACTGTATGAGTGAAATATGATTATTATAGCGCACACACGCCGAATACAAAATGTTTCCATTAGAATGAATAACTCATTTCACGCAAGAAAATGGCTTCCATAGACGACCGTCATAACAAATAAAGGAAATACAATTGTACCGACTTTGTTTCTATGAGTAAATTGAAATAATATTAGGTGCCAGAGATTGGCCTTTTGATATTAAAAAAGCGAAATTTAATGCAGGTCGCAATAAATGGACTGGAATTCATTGTCATATTTTTTTGTTACACATTTACTCTACGGACTCTCTAGATTATGTTTTTTGTTTTGTTTTAAACTCAAGCAGAAATAATGTTACTTCTTTTTTATTTACTGTAGTGAACGTGTGAAGCGAGAGTATTTGTTACTAAACAAGCCAATATTTTTATACACAAGAATTTAATGAACTTACTATGTTTTCATAATTTGCGACAGCTGTTTCGATTTTATTCGAAAGTATTTTAAGGTGACGTAATTAGAAAATTAAATTTAATATATTTAATTTTTTGTTTATTTTTCACAGTTCCTCCAATATTCTAAAAATTCTAAAAAGTCCTTATGTACCTATCTAGCCGTGCCAGTGACTTCATACCCATGATATTCGGAGTATCAATATTTTAAAGTGCATATTTTTTTATATTGAAACTGATTATAGTATAGGGAGCAAAGAGGATTGTCATCTCATACCCACTTCCACGCGAGTCCTCTTAGAAGCAGTGCTAATAATTTTCTGGTGAATTCACCACGATGGGTTGACTTAATATCATGCTCATTTTGTAATCCTCCGCTAGTACTTCTAGCGTCCTTAACGTACTCGAGTATAACATGCCATTCCTACCATATCATCCATTAAAATAAAAACAAGTATTAAATTTTAAGTGACCTACTACAACACATTAGTGAAAATCTCAGCTGAATCATTTACGCACGCAGAAACAGATAAGGATTCTTATAATAATTATTTTGGGTTCTGTTTACTTTGATAAAGTTTTTCTTACATATATCCCAAGAATATGTTTAGATTTTGTGAAGGTTAACAGAAACCCTACTTCAGCACACAAAAGTGATACACCATATTCAAGCTCTTAACGGACAGATACTATCACTAACTGATTTATCGATTATTTGCTGTTAGGAATGAAACATCAGCCAATTATAGTGTTCCGTATGCCGGACGTGCGGCCGAAATGGTTGGGTAGAGTAGATGTAATAAATCTATGCCATTATATTGAATACCAACAGAGATTATCAAGATGTTGTATCACTGACTTTAATATACGAATAGGGGGAAAAATTAGGACAAGCGTAACGGATTTAGGTTATAGAATTTATCCGCCTTATAAAAGGAAATTTCATAGATTATGATAGGTGTCGTTGAAAATACGACTTTCTACCCTTTCTACCTCCTTCAACCCCATTGTACACTATTATACTCTATACCTTTATTAAGTATTAAATTTACTGCTACCTAGATTGTATAGAGAAAAAGTGAAGTTTGGTGCTTAGAGTTCTGAACCAATATAATAATGTATCGGCATTATGAGCAAGTTTTTTAAATTTTATTAAAGGCAATATGCTTCTTAGACGTATTAGGCGTTATGCTAGCAATGCCAATTCTCATTTCAGGCACTACGCTCATAACCTAAACAAATATCTACTGTTTATCTTATTAATATTATAGACGCGAAAGTTTGAGAGTATGGATGGATGTTTATTACTCTTTAACGTAAAATACAACGGATTTTGATGAAACTTTATAGTTATATAGCTTATATATCAGAATAACACATACGCTATAAATTTCACGTAGGCGAAGCCGAGTGCACAGCTAGTTTATTTAATAGAATTGCAAACATACTAATGGTTTTAAGTAATAACTGTCGACTGTATAAAGGGCACTACGAACATCAAGACCTGTGATATCTGCGATACCACTCATGTGTTGCCCTTTTAAAATATAGCTTATAATGAGTAAGAGTAAGATCACTTATTTTCATTTTTAAATCTTTCACAAAATAATTTACAATTTTCAATAGAACAGAAGTTATTTATATTTTTATTAAAAATAATCTCATTATGGAAAAATATGTTTTTAAATAATAGTAAACTACATTCCCAAATGTAAACAAAACGTGTGGCCACAGCCAGCGTCAGCTTACACTAAAAGGAAAAATCTCGCTCCTTTTCTTGATGTCACTGAATAGGTAAAGATTAACCGCAGCAATCAAGCATCTTGCGCATGCTCGGTTCATGATTACTTTGAATTTTATACCTTAAGAAAATACATACAATTTGGTTCTTTGTTCAGTGTATAAAAATATTATAAATGCGATAATGTATCTGAATATCTGTTTTATTTGCTATATTTTCAGAGCTAAACAACTAAATATATGATAATGATTGATAAGAGAATATAAAGTGTTTTAAACTGGCATTTATTAAAAAAAATAGACTTAATCGCCACTAACACTTTTGTTATAAATAAAAAGAAAATATTTTTAAAAATAAGACGTAATCGGTAATTATTGCGCTGGTTATCAATGAGAAGAAAAGTATTATATTTTTTTATGTTATTTATGTATGTTATTTTGTTCTGCATGCCCCCCCGAAATTATGTACATTAATGTTTAAATAATTATACAATTCATATTTGATATATGACTTGTAATAAAGGTCATATTCTATTTACAATTTACTTACCACTAGACTCACAGAAGCATCCGCCGATCATAACTTTTGGCAAGCCAAACGTGGTGGTGGGGGGTTTGCTGCGTGCCAACTGCACCAGCGCACCAGCGGCTCCAGCACCTCGTCTCACCTGGTACATCGATAATGAGAAGGTACTATTGTCATAAAAATTACATATTTTAAATAAGTTTTGTTTTACTTCAGATACGCAGATCGGATTTTGTTTTCGTGGTTATGTAACCAGGAAAACAAAACCCCCTGTTTTGAAAGTGGGGTTTGTTTGTAATGGGGACTAAGGGCCCATTTTTTTCAACGTGGTTTACCATGGAAACTATCGTGGTTAATTCCTGGTGAATTCGTCATAATGGATTAACTAACTTGACTTTATCATGTCATTCTGCCTTGGTGGCCTACCAGCGTATACGCTTAGCGCAGGAGGGCCATTCCATTATCATGTATTAAATGAAACAGCTCTTTGACGAACCATCATTGTTAGTTTTTTAAGATTTAAATCCAATAAACTTTTTCTGAAAGAGATAGTAGCAGATTTGTCTCTTTGATTTTGGAATACATATATGGAACTATTGGCTCCTATATATAGTACGATATCATTGAATGTAAAGATCTTAAGATATATCATATGATACGATATCAAGACGAATGTAAGAATATTTTTTGTATTAAATTGACTTGTATAAAAACAATATAATATTATAAAGAATCAAACAATAAAAAAGGCTAAAAATAGTTTGCAACACAGTAATGAAAAATCCAGCACAATAAATGTTAATAATGCAAGTATATATATATATATATATATATATATTATAACAAAAAGACATTTTTGAAATTCAACATTCAGGCATGTTGGATTCAAACACTTATGACGAAATGTGAGCTGAATAATATTAAAATCTTAATTATACTCCTTTGATCCTTTGTATAATAACAGGCGCGTAATTTTCAAGTGTCTTTACATATATATCCTTAACTCAAAGTTAAGTACTATTGAACGTATTATAGCCGAAAGGGAAGTGATATGTGTCACAATATAACACGAGGCATACATACATACATACATATAGATTTGTTTCAAATTTATTTATAAATAATTTAAAATATTAAAGAAATCAGAGGGTTCCTGGTTAAAAAAAGGTTGGGAGCCACTGGTGTAACTCATTACGAAATAATGTCAACAGTTAGGTATCTATCTCGGGGTGGAGCATTATCTGTCTCCTATAAAATATGTACTTTCAGAACTTATTACTCGTATCTCACGTCGACTGATAGCGATAAAATGTTTATTGGCTTCTTGAAATATGAAAGAATATCTTTATAAAGAGTTCTTTTGTTGGCGTTTCGTGATAAGAACAAGAATACTGACATGAATACTTTAAGATTGGTGAAAACATCTTTTTTTATTATCTTCTGTGTGTGGGTGTGAGAAATAAAATTCGCTACTTTATTTTTGGACTTAGGTATAAATCACTACGGCATTGTGAAATGAATATAATTTATATTTTAGTATCTATAATAATATATAATAATAATAATAATATTTATTGCAGTTAAAGGTTGTGTTACATAATTAAGTTGTACATAAGAGTCAATAATTTTAACATACAAGTGTAATTGTGCCATCTGAACTAGTATAAAATTATACTGTATCTCAGATGTCACATACCTTCCCAGGGTGCATATTATTTCATTTATTAACATTTACTTTTACACAGCACAAAATCATACATACTACTTAACATAATATTACATATTCGATAAAAAAAAAAGGAGGAAATAATAATAAGACATAAAGCCAGATAAATAATAAATAAATAAATAACTTATTATATGCTGATAACCACGTAATCAAACCATTTTATAGTGTTTAAAGTATAATTTGTAATTACAGAATAAAGTTTTCTGTTTCGTCATAACTTAGCTTCTGTAGCCAGGTTTTGAGACACTTTTTACATAAAATTTTTGTTAAGGAGTTAATATTAATAAATATTTTCTCTATCTATTGCTTGTAGTTGTATATATAGTCCATGTAACTGCCTAGGTAGTTACAACTTTCTTATACACTTTTCTATGTGAAGCAGTAAGTAATGTGTATTTTCCTAAAACTTCCCGGCCTCTTAAGTTATTTGCTTTATACGGCAACGGTCCAAGTAATTCTTAACATGGCTGTGAAATTGCTAAGTTAGGAATTTTTTTGTCTAGAATAGACTATAGGATGAATTCAACAACGAGATGATAGTAAAATCTTAAGGTAATGATTGGCACAATAAGGCAACTTAAAGGCCACTTAAACGAACACCTATGCCTATACATGGTGCTACAGACGGCCTCTGTTATGGCTGCTTCGAGGCTTGAAAAATAGCCGCTAATGTAATCGAAGAGTCCGTAACAGTGACATTCCTTTTCTTCTTCTTAAGCGTTATTCAACCAATTTTTTGGAGTAGGCCTCCTTCAATCATCTTTATTTTAATATTGAATACAACTTTTATCGTCGCTCCGAGAAGCCTGTAACCAAGAAACTTACTTAAGATATCAAGATATCTTCTGCGCTTGGTTGGGTATTTTAAAAGTCTCAGCTCTATGTGTACATGAGTCCAAGTGCAAGGCTAAATACGGAAAACAAAGTTCAATTTAGGTATATTTATATATTGCAGAAGGGCTATCCATCAATGAAGCGATATGGTATTTTGTGGTGTCTGATATGTGTCTACAATATAATAATATAGAGTAAAAATAAGGGTGACACCCCTGTTGTCTCAGGCGTCCATAGCCTACGGTAACCATATACCACCAGATGGGCCGAACTTTTTATTTAACTGGAATGACAAACAAGCATACGGCTCACCTAGTCGTGCGATGGCATACCATGAAATTTTTGTTCCCAGGTAAATGAAGAATCGGTAAGATATTTTTCATATCGAGTGTCAAGCTCGACTCGGACCAAAGGAGGTGGCGGATACCGGCATCGCAAGCACCAACACCGCTACATAGCTCCGGAGTTCAACTACACCGCCAAATACTGGGCACTGGTGAGCGAGACCACTACGCCACCTACCACGAATACTAGCAAACACAATAAGTGCACTTTCAAAGAAGCTCAAAGTGAGGAGATGTCTAAGGTATCCAGTAATTACCATACTACTTTATTTTTTTAATCTAAACTCTAGAATTCTACTATTCATATATATAGGTATTATGAATGCGAAATTGTGTCTGTTTGTATCCTTGACTCACGACTTAAAGAAATTTGGCGTGAAAATAGATTACATCACGAGGAGTTAGCATTTATCTAAAATAGCTTTATCTGCTATTTTAGATAAATATTTAGTAATTATTATAACAGCGAAAGTTTGTGAGAAGTGAATGCATATGTTATTTGAGATACTCGAATAAAACATGGTACACACACATAGATAAATAATATTCCAGATTTATATGAACAAACCGCAAAATACAGCTAATCCAAAATAATAAATATAAGGATTGTTTTTTTTAAGTGGATTTAATAAAGAATCTCTCTGCAATATGAGGGCAGATCCAGAAATAATGATAATCGGTTACATCCTGTGCACATAAAAATAAAAAGAATTATTTTTTGCTTGCTCGTAAATATATCCGGAATAGATCGCTATTACATTATAATTACAGATTTTCGCTGATGGTTATCCATAATTTACTCCAAAAAATGGCTAATAATAAGTTAAGTTATATATAATCTACATCTATTCATTTATATAAAAATCTGATAATAAAACAACACCTTTGTTGCTTGTTAGTGGCTACATTTAACGAGATATTAGATATTTCGTGTTATTATCCCTAATAAAGAATTACTGGCTATATTTCTTGAACAAAAAGCTAAGGCTGTAATGTTTAATAAATTATAATAAAACAAACAAAGAAACAGTACTCGGCCTTCTTGCTAAAAGCAATCTGTTCCAAGGAATCTTGGGATAAAGGAAAATAATTGACTAACTTGTACAAAAAATATTGCAATAATCTATAACTGACCACCATTCTATGATACAGCAAGATTATAATTTATCTTTACTAATGTTATAAACGCGAAACTTTGTGAATATTGATGGATGGATGGATGTTTGTTACTCTTTCACGTAAGAACTACTAAACCGATTTTGATGAAACTGGCGGATTTTGATGGCCATAATTTTAAAAGATATTATGTAAATTAGTTGTTTAATGGCAAGTAAGCGTGATGCAGACGAAGTTGCGGTTATAATCAAATTCTTACTTCATTTATTCTTACCATATATTATCGTCATATGTCACGTTTCTCGGTCGAGCTCTTAAACAATTCTATCATGGTCCATATCCCGTATAATAAATACTACCTGTACCGCGGTTTCACTCGCCTTAAAGCCTATGTGTTATTCTAATGTATAAGCTATATTATTAGAAAGTTTCATTGTAATCCATTTAGTAGATTTTCCGTGAATCTACACTCACAAACTTCCGCTTTTATAATATATTAGTAATATATACAATCAAAAACTTCTTTATTTAGATGCAGGAGAGGCCACGTGCTTCATCGATGGCTCCTATATCCCTTTGGGTGTCGATAGCTGAACTACGTGCTCCGGCGCATGGGAAACTTCAGTTAACGTGTACGGCCACCATACCCGACGAGGTGGGTCCTGGCGAGAGATTCGCAGATATCAAGAAACAGACAGTCACAGGTGAGATTGTTTCTAAATTATGACATAACGTAACAAAGTAAAATCACCGGCAAGCTAGATTTACGTGATACAAAACAAGAATGACAACTTTAGAAGGATCCTTGTATTTATGTGAGGTAATAAATAGCTCTCGTTAATCGTGTTAATGTCAATATAATAAAAAATATTTTTATTTATATGTAAAATATTAATTATACATTTAAATAGGTAAATAAGTGAAAAATAAAAAAAAACAATGTTATTTTAATAGTCAAATATATATTATATAACGTATTAAAGCAATGTAAAGACTTTGTACAAGAATAAAAGCATGAAAGCTAAAGTTTACATGAAATATTATGGCAGAATGCTAGTATTTTTTTATAATAAAATATTAAAAAAGACTAAAGATAAATATATTTTACACACTACCATGCTATTGATGCCCACCACGCACTCATACATTTTATTCTTGGCTATATATATACCTTAATAAGATTCAAACTTAAAATTTAAATGAATTGTGAACCATAGGATACCCACTAGTAATAATAATGAAATAAGGCCTTGTAGCCTCTTAACTTTACTATAAAAATCGCTGAAAACCATACTTCCATTTATGCCGAATTGTGTTCTACATTGACTCCTATTATAACCTATTTTTATTGATATTTATTCCATATATTAATATATGTAAAATAATATTGTTTATTTTTTAATTAATGTTGTATATGTATTTTATATTCTAGAGAGTCAAATAAAATATTATTCTATTCTATACTTGTCGTAGTGGCCGTGAACGAGCTCAGTATGAAGAAGCCGCATTCTGAAACAAGCCATGCAAACGGAACTTCTACCTGTCTGCAAAATTACCACCCACTTTGGATTCTGAGCTGCGGGTTTCTGTTTCGAGGGATCTCGCTTCAATTAAATCGGATAGATTGAAAACTGCAATCTTTGCCTTCAGACACCGAACGGTATTATAGCGCTTTGAGAAAATAGTAAATTGTACAAGTTTAGAAACCATGTACTTCGTACTACCTACAATATAATTACACATTTTAACAAAATATTTAGGCTTTTCGTCTCACTTTCAAGGTAAAAGGTTGTCCCGTTTAAAATTTTGTTTGCTAGAAAATGTATGCCTTATATTTCTCAATAGGTATCGGATTTATTTAAATTTCAGTTTAATTGTTAGAAAATTATTGTCTTAATACGAGCTCCTGCTTTATTACTATTTAAATCCTTTACCAATTAGGTAAATATTAGTAAAATTTTACTGTGTTCATATTTTAACGTAAAGAATATAGAATTTACATTGTAACTGTATAATTTTAATGAATGTTTAATAACTGCTTTAGTATACATGGCTGGTTTCCTCTTGAGCTTCTATATGTCAATTATTACACATATATCAATTATTAATTTATTTATTATATTCTAAATAGTAAATTCTAATGCTATTTTAGTACAATACATCTGATACTTCCACAAACAATAAATATGGCTGGCGATATCTAAACCATATATTTTTTCGACAGGGTTTAGCAAACAAAATCTCTTCTTATCTATATATGTACAACTTAATCTTCTACGTGTTTATTTTGATATAGCGCGTATATTTCTATATTTTTCACTAACATATATCTACTTAGAATAAACCTTAGTAGAATCTATAACGATATTTATGTTTAACCTTTAATCTATTAATAATATGAGCTTAAAGCTGTCTAGTGTTATACAGGAGTGTGATTGGATGTTCGAATACGTTCTCGACACTGGCTCATAATGAGAAAAAAATATGAGCTCAAAATGCACACGAGCAGATTTTCCACTCCAAGTTATGGTCTATTCAGTTTAATGGCGGCTTAAGGTATTTACTGCTGACATATATTTCTGATATTCGGTATTATATTTAACGAGTTCTTAAAGATTCCCTCTATATTATGAACAGATGTTGATTTGTCTATTCTATTATTTAATTATGCGAGCGTACTGTATGAGAAATGAAAGAACTATATTCTAATGAAATTTATTTACTACAATACTTATAGTTACAAATGACGTAGGGGGTATTGTATTGTAATACCCATTTTGTTTAATGCAGTCCTTGTCAACATTAATCGATACAGTTCCCAATAGATTTTAAATCGAATAGTGTTGTGGGGTGAACAATAATTGTAATATATGTATTAGGTTTTGTTGCTAATGCTTTGAATGTTGTGTTACATAATATTTAATCATTTAAAATCATCATGAAATATTCCGAAATTGATGTGCCATTAGTTATTAAATTGGAAATTTTATTAATAGTCGTTGTTAAAGAAATGTTCTGAAGTATATATATGCAGATTTTTATGTAAAACTATTTAATATATTAGGATCGGAAATTGATTAATACTAGTAGATTCGCGGACAATTGTCGTAGATTTGTTTTCTCAATAAACTATTTAAATGTAATGAATCTGAATATTTCATGTTGGTAGGCGATTTCAAAGTGAGAACATATTTTGAGAATTAATTATTGTCTGTGTATTTCAGCAGAATATTTTCGATATGATTAGTGTTACGATGTGAAAGCAGAGGTATTATATTTAATCGTAATTGCTGAGAGGAGGATTGAATGAAGGAGAACAATAATGTCTATGTTGCATTACTTACAATATATTATTATTTACAGCAATAATATTTTATTGTTCAAGATAATGAATCAAAATCACGCAATACACAATTAATTCTAAAAAATAAAGGAATAATAAATCTAAAAAGCTAGCAAATACTTATCCCTAACAAGAATGGTAAAAGATGTTAATAAATCAATAATAATTAAGCTAAGCAAGCTTGCAAACACAAATCAAATGAATAAAGTTTAGAGATGTTATTTAATCAATAAAGCAACGCAAGCTGTATTAAATTAAAATTGATTAATTCGACATTTAGAATACTGTGAGTGAGATCTTTATTGAAATTTAAACATTAATCAGCAAATAAATTTACTAAATTTGAGTAGATTAAACCAGCAGATAATGTAACTATTGTTTCTGCAGATAATCTACTCGTATATTCAGTTAAGTGGATTTCTAAAGTGACTTGTTCTCCTTTAAAATTAAGAATTGTCAATCAATCCTGCTACTTGGTGTTGAAAGTCTTCCCGCAGCTCTATACACTGACTACTGTAGAAAGTTTATTTGTTAGGCTAAAGGATGTGATAAGTTAAAATGTGTATATTGAAGCGAAATATATTTTAAAATAGATTAATTTATGTGCTACTGTATAGACGAAATTATATATTATTATTATAGATAAAAATATAGCGTAGGTTTAATCTGTGGTTATACATAATACCAACAATCTTTATGATTTCTAAATAAAAATTTCAATGATGACGTTGTAATTCCATGAAAATAATAAATTGCTATTTATATATTAACTGTTACAATAATAAATGTTGGTGTAATCTGTATTTATTATATACTATTGGAATCATTATTACTATCAGAAGCGCTGGAACTTTGTCATTTATCAAGAATTGTGGTACATCAAAGATGTGTGCATTACATTCGGTAAGCTACCTACAAAGTATGAGTAAAACTTCGGAATGAGTAATATTATTTAATAGGTTCTTAAAAACTATTATATGAGCTATTTTAATCCAACTCCAATGGCGCGTAGCACATTGCAGTGCTTGACAAAATCACTTTATTACTAATAAAGTATTTTAAATACCTATATTTCTATTTAAATCTATTTGTCAATTATTACATTCATAATTGAAGATCCACTCTCTTCTTGGTTTATCCACTTCTCACGATCTTCCATTCTCTTTTACTGTTGATACGACACTGCTCCAATTTTATTCTTAATTTACTTGATGTAACTGAGCTTTGGTCTTCCAGTCCTCTTCATTTCTTCTATTTTTCACCAATAATAATATTCATAAATTCATCGTACCGTATCAAGTGGTCACCGTCTATTTTCAAAACTTAGGTATTTATATATTTTTTATAATGACTAGTGCTACAAATTTAATTATACTATATGTGGAAGACATAATAATTACGTTATGAAAATATTTTTTTAAATATGCCGTACCAATTGATTTTGAATATAAAATTCATATGTATTAATATTCTGAAACATAGGAACGATGATATCTCGAAACCTTGTACTTGAAGTCGATGAAATCAATCTAAGTTTTACTAAATACCATATAAAATATTCCAAAGTTCCAGTGACTACTGTAAACTATTGCATCTTCCCGTAGTTATTGGATGGTCGAAATATTACAGTTTCAGGTAAAAAATATAATCTTCTGGCCATTTTAAACTTAATTATAATGGACATGGTCACACTATGTGAATGATGAATAAAAAGGCTTGACTCAGATTGTTTGTTATTTATTCTATCCCTCTACCATAGTAAAACATATTACATACTCTTTTCTAGTCCAGCAGTTTAGCATATAGCTTTACTTCCAAATGTCGCGGGTTCAATTCCTCCCACGATGCAAACATTTTATTCATTATCATTGTTGAGTACGGTCTGTGTGTTTTCTATTAATGTTATGTATGTATATATTTATATCAATTGATACATAAGTATTTCCATCAGTTATCTAGTATCCACAACACAAGCTATGCTTACTTTATAACTAGATGGCCGTGCTGGATGTGAATTATTTTAAGCTATTATGCATAATAAACAATATAATAAATTCTTCGGTTTATCAAACTTTCGAACTAACTATCCAAACTCGTAGTTCTATCTCTGTTGTTCGATAACTAAAGCTGTTGAGTTTCTAAACAAGTGAGTACGTGTTGTGTATCTAGGTCAAATTTCAGTTGACCATATATAGGAACAAGCACTATCTTCCCGTTCTAAATTTAATTAAGATGTTAGATCGAATTATATGTAAGTAGAATAGCAACCAAGTTAGTTTGCACTATTAACTATATAAACATAATCCTGGCATTTTGTTGTATGACATCCAAGCTACCCCGATACTATATTACCTTCACATTCTGTGATTGACCCTAGATTAATAATTTACTATTTTTCAAGAACAATGAACGAAAATATATACACATATATTCGTCTCATAAGTGCATACAAGTCACAAATTACAAAATAAAAGAATATCAAAATAATATAAATATTAAAAAAAAATGATGGGCAAGCTGCCAGCAACACATTGCCCTCCGGACAAATATCATGCCTTTATACGCCTGAAATTTTACAGGTCTATTTCACACCTCAAACCAAAACACCTTCCAAAACAAGCTACTAAATAGCTAAAACAGTTGTGACAGAGGTAAGCACATAGAATACTTTGTACCTTATTAACTTTAAACAAAATAGATACATATCTAAAGAAATATGATCCTTATACAGTATTAAAAAATATTTATTTACTAATACGACATAAAGAAAAATATGCAATACTCGTAATTCTTATTATAAATGCGATAAAAGTTTTGATTTTACTTTTTTTCGAACAATAATGAAAATATGTTGACTGTCTCCTTTATTGTAAAAGGCAACCGTTAAGTATGAATTATTAAATAAAAAAGTATTTTTTTTTTTTTTATATTTAAATACATTTTTCCACAGACATATTCGTCCGTGCCTTTTTTAATTTACTTTAATATTATTATATTTATTTAATTTCCATTTTTGTACAACTCCAGCCGAGATGTTACAATTTGCCTAACAGTGACACCGAGGCAGACCTTATCCGTCTGGCCCAGAACCACCGCTGGCCGGCCGGGTGAGTTGACAACATGCAGTGTCACCCATCTTTATTTGGAAGATTAGATTTATCAATATGCATATACAATTATATAAATCTTACACTACTACTAATTTCACAGTTTTCATTACATTGTGCAATGTAAGAATTCATAATGTAACAATACACATTATGAATTCTTACACTGCATATACAATTATATGAAATCTTATTCTAACACTATTAATAAAAAAGTATTTATTTCCCTTAGAATTCGTAAAATACAAGAGGATCATAGATCGACAGTATCGATCGACAAAACCGTTGAATAATTCAAGCGTTTCTCACTGACTTGTTATTGCTCATAATTCGATGTGCGCCCACCAATAATAATATTTCGCCTCATTCGTATATCCATAAATTTTA